GAAATAATTACCCAGCTTTGAGCATTGAATTGAAAAAATACTGTATTTATGTATGACTGGTTAAGCTAATTGGTATCCTTCCTTCAAGAACAGGGTAGATGAACTTTATCCATTCAAATGGCAGCAAATGGCCAGTGAAGTGGGCTGATCTGGAGTTCAGTATGGCCTCATGCTTGAAGGGAGCATCCCTTCTTTTCCTCCAGTCCCTGTTTGAACAATGAGCCTTCTAAACAAATTGCTGGGCTAAAACCAGTAACATTTGTACATGCCTTCAAAGGCCCTGTCTCATATTAGCAGGGAGAAAAGAGAAAGCATTTATTTTTGCTTCCCCTCAACCTTGGTCATCTTTATGGTGTGTCTTTATGAAGGGAAGAGCCCTCAGGAGAAATCATAAGAACAAGCAGAGCATTCCTGCCATTTTGCAGCTGTGCACCAGGGGCACCACCAAGAACTTACAGGAAAGAGAAACCCTAGAACTAATGTTAATCACAACCCTGTTTTAGCTAGAGCAAGGAGATTTCTCAGTTTTCTGACACTGGCCTGAACTGTGTGGGCTTTTGCCTCAAAGTCTTCATGACATTTCTTAGGATGTTGCTTCACTTTGACCTCTCTGAATGGGATGTGGCCTTTTCATTCAGTTTCATCTCTTAGGCTACAGTCAAATGAGGGAGGGGCTCACAGAGACAGTGAGACATGAGGTGATATGGATCCAATCAATTGGAGCCAACAGCTCTCTCTGTCCTGTTTCTTTTTTTAACCTAGCCATTTAATTTGAGTTTGAGTGCTCATACCTGGGTTACTTTGCTGATGCTGGCTTGGGTACTGGTGTTGGTGTAGCAACGAGATCACGAGCAAGTTGCTACTTAGGCAGAACCTGGGGTAGGTTTTGCAGCCTGTGATGTTGGAGCTGCATTTAGACAAGCTGTTTTGAACTAGCTCAAATATAAATGTTCTTGTTGGCAGATCCATCCTGTAGGATGTTATTCTTACAGCAAGAGAAACATGATGTGTTGTGAGTGCTCCTTGCCTATAATTTTTTCCTATTACAACCACATTGCATTGTACATACTGTAGCTCAGAAGAAAAATGGGGTGTATTTTGGTTATTTGTTAACCATCAAGACACTGAAGAGATAATGGGGAAATGGGTGGCATGCCAGAAACAATTCAAAAACACATCACAGTGTCTACCAGCAAGAGAGAAAACGTTTTGCTGAGCTTATTCAGGAGTTTTCTTTCACGATGATTCAGGACACAACTGCAGTAACTGAACAAAGCAGTTGTTTCCTCATATCAGCTCTTCTCAGGCAGCAGAAAGCCCAGCTGGGACCAACTGAAAAGAGCACAGCTGGCTGGTTGGTGTCAGAGAGTGGGGTCAATCTTAGCTGTCCCTGTGCAGCAAACCAGAACTGATGTGGCTGTGTCCTGAGGATGAAAGTGCAGCCTGGCACAGAGGCTCTGATGGAGTTGGCTTTCAGGAATCCTTAGGCTTTGGGGCAACTATAAAGCTTGAAGAACTCTTTTATTTCCCAGTAGCTACTTGTTCTTGTGTTGAGCTGTAACCTTCTTAAATTGAATTACTCTATACCACTGCTGAACAAACCTTCTTCCCCCAAAGGAAGTCACATGTTTAAAAAACAAAAACCAACACAACCTTCAACATATTAAAAATAAAGCCTCTGATAAAATAAATACTTTTGGATCATCTCCTTCTGTAAACACGCAGATGTTTCCTATTTTCTATTCAGCCTAAATGTAATGCTTACAAAAAGGTTGAGATCCCACCCTCACTTTGATGTGAGGGTACAGATACACTAATTATTTTCTTAATAGATATCTCCATATGCAGAAAAGAGGAAAGGAAAGGGCAGCCAAGTGTGAAGGAAGACCCTCACTCAAACCTGCATCTGTCAAGGTCAGATCTGTCCCTCTGTTCCAGGCAGAGGAGGAGGGAGAGGGTTACAGCAAGAGGGTAGCAGCACGGTTCTCCCCGCCACCCTGTGGAGAGTGCCGGCTACTCCTGGGAGAAACGGTGAGGGAA